TATCTATCTATCTATCTATCTATCTATCTATCTATCTATCTATCTATGTGCACTCACAGAAATGCTGAGTAATTGTAAAATATTGTTGTTACTGTGCAGAAGTATACACAATATATCTATGTGCAGGGTGCATATGTATACCACGACATTCGTGTAGTGATCAGAAACATCTTCGTGGGGTTGGTTTTCTCTGTCCACCTTTATGTGGGTTCTGGGGATTGAACTGAAGTCAACAGGCCTGTGTGGCAAGCGTCTTTACTAGCGGAACCATCTTTCCAGCACAGCACTGAGTAAATCTTTAAAAAAGGAACACACAAAGGGTGTCCTGTATGCATTGGACGGGGTGGGAGTAGTCAAGCTGCTCTCACTTGTAACTTACAGGTTGCTTCTGGTCTTTCCTTGAGTTGTGTATGCTCTATCGCAAGACTCCTCCTCTGGCTTTGGGTCAAGTATCATTCTTCTCTAGTAAGTATCCTCTATTTAAGAAGCCATTTGTAGTTGCTGTAAACTTACCTGTTCTGAGTATTCACAGGTCATAGAAACACATTTCTGTGTACTTGCCTTCTTGGAGGCTTTTGTAACCCCCCAATCGGCTCTCCTGACTGCCTTTTATGTCAGAAGACTCAATACACCATCTCCCCAGCCCTTTAGCTGAAGTTGTGACTTAGTGTTTAGAACCCCAAAGTCCCTCCCTCAAGGCGGCCAACTATTTTGTAACACAAACATTTGTTAAATTAAGCGAACACGGCAAATGTTACAAATTGCGCTTCAGCACAGATTAGATAAATAAGTTTCCTCTATGCTCAGAAAAGCGTGTTCAGCCAAGACACCCCAAGATGGTACAGATGGGAGGTCAAACCTTCCACAGAAGGAGCCCTGCAGCTAAGTCTGGAGGCCTCTGTAAGAACATTTGGAAGTAGCGGGAGGCCTGGGCTCCTGGCCCACAGATAAGAAAACCTCCCCCAGCCAACCTGGAGCCCCTCAAAAGCATGAACGCCTCCCAGATTTCTTAGTATTCTCTTTCTCCTATGTACACAAATTAAACACATCCAACTGGCAAATGCTCCCATCCTAGAAGACAAATTGACAAGAGGGCTGTTCAAGGTTTGGACCACTCTGGTTTCTGCTTTCTAAACTCTCTGCTGGCCCCAAGGAAGGATGTCACCACCATCCCGAGCACACAGCATCTGTCCCTTCTTGGCTAGGGTCCAGTACGAACCTCACAACGCTTCTGCTGGCTCCCTCTTTAAAATAAAAATTCTTTTGAAAAATTCCATACTCACTATACTTCCAGCCTAACAATTTGGGTGGGAGAGGGAAAAACATGAGTTTCAAACAAACATGTGAGTCCAAAAAAGTCCCTTTAGGCCATTCTCAGAGAGAAGTAAAATGGAATATCCAGTTGGGTAGATTGAAAAGCCAATGGCTAAGGCAGAGTCAAAGAACCACCAAATACCAACTCTCTCCAGCACATCAAAAGACAAAGATCTAGCAAACAGAGATTTTGCTTCCCAAAACAAGCTCTCTATTGTAAAGCTATCCGATACACTTGTGTTTAAGAAGGAAATTTCCTTGTTCTGAAATTCTGGTCCATTATCACCAGACTCTAATGGCTATATCTTACTCATTGCTTAACTGTACCAGCTAAGACCTGACCTACAGCCTTAATATATGTATTCAGCACCATGATGCATTCCCAGTGCCTGGCATCTGCTGGTCTTTCTAGTGTTAGTTCTCAAGCCCAGGACAAATGGCTGAGAGGTCTATTAACATATCAAAGCTGATGTTGGCTGCTAGGATCTCTCAGCATCCCTCATTCCCTACCTGCTCTAGGTTCCCCCTGGCTAGCAAACTCCTCCCTTTACCTGGAAATCTCCAGCCCAGGTACTGGACTGGGCTCCCCCAACCCCCCCATCCTCTGCCCATACATAATTCAGCCATTTTGGCTACACCAGTCTCTTGGCCCAAGCTATTACTCTTGGTCTGTGGATCCTCTCTGGCTCTCTCTCCCTCTCTCTCTTCACTTGGCCCAGCTTAGTCTGGCCATGTTCACTCTGGACTCTTCCGGATGTCTCTACCTCTGGCTATGCTCTCTCTTTTATCTACAGTAAACCACCCCCTCCCCATAGCTGAAAGCAGTCACACCTCCCTTTTATTTCTTTGTATTATTCATCTGGTGCTGAAACCCACAGGTGCCATACACAAGCTCCTATCCAAGAGACTCTGAACCAAGCTGCTGAGCTGACTCTCCTAAGGTATGGATGGATCATTTATTTCTGCTGGCTTTTGCCACCTACCAAATGTGATTCTAAATTCTAGAGTCTGATTCTCAAGCTGCCCTCTACTTGCTACTCTCCTGGTCTCTCCAGACTCTTAGAGCCTTTCACACCCTCTCAAGGCCCCCACTGGGCACTCTCAGCTCTGCTAAAGCTACCTGAGTATCTCTCTATGCCCATGTGCACATGGGCACATCTTTAAAGACACTATCCACTCCCCCCCAACCCCCATAGCTCTCAGATCCCTCCTCAAGATTCTTCTTCCTCCTCAGAGCTGCCTGCTCTATCTCTTCCTCAAGCCCTTCTCCTAACCCCCCTCCTCCCTCAGGTAGAGCTGAGCCCAGATCTTTGTCTCTCCACTCCCTCCTATAGCCCCACAGCCACCTACACACTCATAGCTTTTCTCACTTCTCTTCTCACAGCTCTTCACACTTCTCTGCTCCCTCTTGAAGCTAATGGAAATTCCCTCCCGCAGAGTTTTCCTGGGACAGACTGGAGTGTGCCCAAGTGCCAGACACTGGTATACTTTCAAAGCTAAAGCAACCCTTCCCCAGGGCTAGCTTCTGTTCCTTATCATCTCGGGCGAGCCTGCTCGACACAGCCCTCCACACAGATCCATATATCCAGAAGAAACCAAGGACAATCTGGAAACACTAGAACCTGCTGGAAAGTCAGTAGTTTTTCCAAGGGCAGTTAGATTTGGTTTCTAAAACCAAAGGAGATACTGGGCATGCTGTATGTAATTCCAGGACTTGAAAGGCAGAGGCTGAAGGATTGAAAGTTTAAGGCTAGCCTGAGCTACATGGCAACATGGTTAAAAAAAAAAAGACAAAGCAACAGAAATGTCTTTGGGTCCAAGAATATTGGGTCCCCTGGGCATTCTTCATCTTCCATGTTCATGTTCACACCTGCCTTCTAATCTCTGTAGACGTTATCAGTGGCTTAAGTAACACCCTGGGTCTTGTCCTCTCCACCTCCAGTATTCTGTTCTCAGTGAGTAGTATGCTAAACAGACACTTCCACCTGCTCAACACAGCCATAATGATTGGTTTCCTTCTGTTTCTACAGATTTGAATGAAATGCTTACTACTCACTTCTCTGCCTTACTGTGCTCCTACAGTTGCTGGGGAAGTTTTTCTTTACTACCAGGAGGCACCAAGAATATTCTTTACTGCAGATTCTTTTCCCCTATAAATCAGTCTGAACTCATTTTTAGAAAAGAATAATAACACAGACATAAAAGAATAACAACACTGAAAAAAAAGTCATCTATCATTCCCTGTATCCAAATGATGGTATTCATATATGCTTATCTAAAGCAAACATGTATGTATACTAAATACACAAATATATACCTGGCAGTCACCTGGTTTGCAACCTCCTGTAAGTGTGATTCTATAATTTTAACCTGTGCATTAATTTAGCTGCTCACACATCATCAAGACTGAGGACCAAATTGTAACAGGAAACAGTTGATCCCAATAACTCAGAGTTGACTGGACATCAAAGGTGCTTACTAAGTACTGTTTACTGGCTTGTTTAGAAAGAGATGCCTATTTGAAATATCAACCTAATGGCAAATCATCCTGCCAACGAAACACTACCCTTTAGTACACCATCTCTTCACGTTCCAATAGCCCCTGACCTCTAGACCACCTTCCAGAGACACTTGATGTCACATGAGGGGAGAGGGTAAGAAGTGGGAGTGGCCCCACCCTTTGGCTTCCTCCAGCCTCCATACCTGTGCGGATGCTCCTGTAAGACTTGGTAAATGCTGATAAGAAAGGTTTGGTTTTTAAAACTCCCCACCACACAGTCCTTGTAGACGCGGAACTCAGCAGCCGTCACCGCCTCACCCTCGGGAATCTGGGATAAGTTGAACTTGAACTCTTTGTGGTGTCGCTGGCGTGGGGAGAACTCCTTGTCGTACTCCACTATAGGATTAAACAAGAGAGAGTGACAGCTATTGTTACTTGACCAGGTGCCACGGGCTCATCTCATGAGCATTCCCCAGTTTTACTTCACAGATTACAAGCGACCAGCAGGTGGGTTAGGGAGACCCAGGGGCTGATCCTGCCAGGTAGAGATCGGAATCCTCCCTTCTGCCCCAGATGAAGCCAAATGTTTGCACTGTGTTCCGTTTAGCTACTGTAGTGTCAGCCGTTGGCTCAACGTGATCTGCACAAGATCAAGTTGTTTAAAGACTCCTGGCTTCGGCTTTTCTTATCAGAAAAAAAAAAAAAAAGACTGAAGAAACATCTGAGAATGAATGAAATGTGGAAGAAGAAATCACCACCTGTTAAACTTCCTAAGAGCTGCTGGCCACCAAAACAATATAGGTAACTGTCACTGCAATCGGATGCTCACCAGAACCAGATGGGAAAGCTTTATGGGTGAATGTGCCACACGCTCTGCTACAGAGCACAGAGAATCAAGAGGAAATGGAGATCAAAGAAAACAAACAAATAAACAAAACCATGTGATGTGGGGTTTGCAATCCCGTAGGAAGATCAACAATATTAACCAACCAGACTCCCTAGAGTGTCCAGGGACTAAAGCACCAACCAAAGAGTACACATGGAGGGACCCATGGCTCCAGCTGCATATGTAGCAGAGGATGGCCTTATCTGGCCTCAATGGGAGGGGAGGCCCTTGGTCCTGTGGAAACTCAATGCCCATGTAGGAGAATGCTAGGGTGGTGAGGCGGGAGTGGGTGGGTGGATGGGGGAACACCTTCATAGAAGCAGGGAGAGGGGGAACCGGGAAGGGGGATAACATTTGGAATGTGAATAAATAAAATAACCAATAAAAACATTATTTTAAAAATGTGATGTCTGTCAAGTTACCTTCTAAATATTTATGTTTATTCCCATAGGTCAGCGCTGCTGTCCACTTTAGGAAGAGAAACTTCTATTTGCAGCAGAGAGTGGGACATACTGAGACTCATGTCTATTCCTAGTCTGGTGAGAAGCGACTACTGAATGAACGCCCAACACAGGTGGGACATCTGTGCCCATTGCCACCTCCAAGACCCACTGAAGAGGAGAGGGCAGGACATAAGAGGCCAAGATGGTCTGGAATGTGGTAGGACACTGTCTCTTGGGCATGGCACGTCATTGCACTGTGATAGCTTACCTAAGATTTCACACAAGGTTTGACGCATGAACATCCTATCATGGAAGGAGTAGAGACTTTTACACACACACACTCATGCACACACACACGCACATGCACACGCACCTGCACACTGCCCCAAAGATCTACAGGCATTTAACAGTTAGGTGGTAAAGAAGAGACATCATCTTCTATGGTGTAGCCATTGGTGAGGTGCCTATGCGCCTCTAAATAACCTGTCGCTTATACATTATCAGGAAACTCTAATGATGGTCAAAAGACATGGAAGTAGGGACAGCTGGATAGAGGAAGGAAAGTAGTGGAAGCAAGAGGGGACATGGAGACAATGAGGGATTAATATGACCAGAATATAGGAAAGGTCATCATGAAATCCATAGTTATGTGTAATTAACATATGCTAATGAGCTCCCCACCATTCTAGCCTTCTCCTCCCTGTAGGGTTTTTCCCTCCCCAGTTTTATGTGGTACCATCTGTGGCTGACATGAAACGGGGCACTCAGCGCTGAACTTGGGAGCAGTGACATGAGTGGGGGGCATGCCATGCTTTGTCCCCCTGCCCCCGACATCCCAGAGGCCTCCACACTTTGCTTGCTGTCCCATGGAAATATCTGTAGAAGATTAAATTTGTTATCCAAGAACTCCGTACGCGTCTATGCTGCGTTCCTGCCCTCACCCCACCCCCTCATTTCCCATCATCTATGTCAACACACCCGAGTCCCCTTTCCACACTCATGTCTTTTTATTTTGTGACCATGGGTTTGGAACTATCCATTGGAGCCTGGCATCAGTTTTTGTTGAGGAGTCAGGCTAGTAAAGTCTCACAAAAGATGATCCCCTTGTAATGGGAGCAAGGCTGAAGTCTGTAGGGACCAGTGCTGTGTGCCAGGAAGCTGTTGGGGCAATTTTAAATTTGACAGCAGAACCCAAATGGGATAAAAGGAATGAATGAAAAAAATCAACAGCAGTGTTACTTGCTATGAATAGCTGACATAAAACAAATTGGAGAAGGATGGGCTATACACACATACACACAATACATACATACATGCATACATACATACATACACATACACAAATACATAGATACACATACACAAACACACACACTCACAAACAAACACATAGACACTCATACTCACATACACATGTATGTACACACACACATACACACACACACACACACACACACAGAGAGAGAGAGAGAGAGAGAGAGAGAGAGAGAGAGAGAGAGAGAGA